AATCCTTGCTTCTGACCCCAGAATTCCTTTTCCTGCTTATTGCATGTCTGCGGGAGGATTTGTGATGCAGCAAATACATACAGCGGACTTTGTTCCCTAAGCATTCCTGCTCCTGTGAACCAGGATTTCCAGCATCCTGCGACTCCTTGTACGATTAATTTAACTCAGAAATGCCCCCAGAAGGCCCCAGCCCCTCTGCCAGGCACCTCATGGCCATTCCTCCTGGCTGGAGCCTCATGGAGGCTGTGCGAGTGCTGGTTTGTCAGGATAAGTGTGTTGACTCCTGCCAGACGCCGACATTACCCCTCGATGGCCAGGTTGAAGACCAGGGCCGTGTGATTCTGAGGTCCACTGTCTCGGCGATCCTGTTTATGACTCAGTTGTGTTGGCATCAGCTTGTCCTATAAGGATCACTTGGCCCTGCGCCCTTAGAGCTTGCATCTCCCTCAGGTGACTGTTCTTTGTCCACAGTCTGGGCTGTGGTTATGTCACAGTGGGAGGGCACTGATGATCCACAGGCATGCGAGGATACAGCCTTACCCCTGAAATCCTGAGATGCATCCCATCGGGGTGGGAAAAAGCTTTGTCCTGAGCTCTCCAAGATCAGGAGCTAATGGGTTAGCACCTGGCTGTCAGGTGGCAGTCAGAATCCTGGACAGCCTCCAGCCTGAACCGCGTGAGTATTTTCAACGTCATCCCTTGGAGAGAGTCTGTAAAGGCAAGAGCCAGACAGATTGCGGAGCAACTCTGACTTATCCTTTCCTTCTGGACAGCTGTTGGTGTCACCCAGACACACAACAGGGCCCACCTCTGCCAGGGAGGCCTTTTGGGTGCAGCCCAGAGGCTGAACACACACACATGGATCCCGACAGCCAGGCCCTTCCAACGTGGACCAACCATCTAGGGATGTGACCTTCTGAATGACCGGTAGGTATGACTGTGCTTTCCCCGGAGAGAGAAGTGCAGGTGCAAGGGCTACAGAGGGGCCCTGGGGTCCAAGGGGTTTCTCTCACAGTGCTGGGAGGCTCCTGGGAGCAGACCCAGCAGGTGGAAACACTTCATAAGTCTTGTTAGTTGCAATGTGGCAGAAGAAGGGGCAGTCACCAGGAGAGGCCCACGTCACAGGGGGCATGGTCTGTCTCACTTAGTCTTTAACAGGGAGTCCTCTCTTTACCCAAGACCCCTGGGCCAAACCAAGAAGCCCAGGGTAGCCCATGTGGTTACAGGATGGCCGGGTGCCCCCTGCTCCTCTGCTGCATGGGGCCACAGGACTTGGAGCCCCTGGAGGGGCAGAGAGAGTAGCCGGCTGGTCCTCCGGGGGCTGCTGCCACCACACACACACACCCAGGCTGAGCGGATCGGGACTCTGGAGTCTCTTCTCTGGCCTCTGAGCCTCCACCCTGCCCCACAGGGGCACTCTCCCCCTTTGAGAGTGAGGGGTGGGGAGGAAGAACCCGCTGTGTTCCCAGCACTGGCTTTGCAGTCATAGACCCGGGCTTGAATCCTTGCTCTGGGTGACCTTAGGCACGTGATCCCCCCCCCCCCGGGCCTCATTCCCTGTAAATATCTATAAATGTCTACAAGGAGGGTGTACACAGAGCCCTCCTCACAAGGCCACATGAGGCCCACACTTCTGCCCACGTCCTGCCAACTCTGCCAGGGCCATCGGACACTGCCCAGGGGCCTGCACCTGGTGGGGACCAGGACATCCACCACCCTGCACCCTTGGCATACTCTGCTTCTGACCTTCCTGTGTGATCTCTGACTTGAACCCGGCTGGAGGAGCAGAATCCATTTCTCTTTCCAAGTGAGTTCCCCAGACCCCAGTTAGAACACAGACGTCACTCCTGCACTCCGGAGGGCTGGGGCATGGCTGGCTCTGCTGGTCCAGAGGAGGCCACTGCCTACCACAGCCCAACCCCTTGGGAGCCAGCAGCTTGGTGCAGGGGACGAAGCAGGCTTTGGAGTGACCTGTGCCTGAATCCCAGTCCGGGGGTCACGGGAGCAAAGACAGACGATACACAGAGAGATGAGGTTTTATTTGGGAAGAGCTCAGGAGGGGAGGTGGGCCCCTGGGGGCCCACCCTTGTGGCTTTTGGGGGCTGAGGTTTGTGGGATGCTGGAAACCAATGATTATGGGCATCTGAGCCCCCTGAGTTGCCCGTGGGGTGCGCAGGGGTGGCTTCCAAGTCGCCCAAGGGGGACATGAGCATGGCCTCAGAGTCGCCCTCTGAGGGGGTAGGGGGTGGCCTCGGAGTCACTTGCTGGGGGGGCGGGGATAGCCTCCAAGTCACTCAAGGGGGGGCTGAGGGGCAGGCGCAGGTGTGCCCTCTCAGTCGCCCTCTGGGGACACAGGGGTGGCCTCCAAGTCATCCTCTGCAGGTGCAGGGGTGGCCTCCGAGTCACCCTCTGGGGGCACAGAGGTGGCCTCCAAGTTACCAGTGGGGGGTCTGGGGGTGGCCTCTGAGTCGCCCCAGGGGGGTGCAGGGGTGGCCTCCAAGTTGCCCAAGGGGGGCACAGGGGTGGCCTCCTGGCCGGCCACCGTGGGCAGCGCCTGGTAGGTCAGGGTCCAGTACTGCAGGTAGCCGGTCCTCAGGTGGTGCTTCATGGAGCTGTCATCCATCTTCTTGGTGATCTCCAAGTAGTCACCGTTCTCTGCGGTGTAGGGATCCCAGTGGGTGGGCACGGCCGAGTGGCCCATGTTGGGGTCCCTGCAGAGTGAAAAGAGGTGGGGCGGAGACAGGACTCCTAGGAGGCTGGAGGCCTGTGTCTGCCTTCAAGCTGACCCCAGGCATCGCAGCACCTTCTAGGGTCGTGTGTGTGGCCTCTTATGCTCATGTACACGGGGGGACAGCGAGGCTCTGGGAGGGTAAGCAACTTGCCTAAAATCTCCCAGCTGGCAAGAGAGGGAACAGGGACCGGAACCCAAGGTGCAGGGCCACGGTGGCAGGAGGCCCTAGTGTTTACTGCTCTTGGCCCTGGGCTCAACCCACGCCTTACCCAGTTCTGGCGAAGTTGGTCCAGTAGGCGATCATGGCCTTGGAGACAGTCCTGTCTTGGAGCCGGTAGCCCAGGGGGGTGGAGAAGGGCTTCCCGAAGACGTACTGGATGTCGTCGGTGTGGTCGGCACCCACCCACTTGGGGTAGACGGGCATCCGAGAGGGATGGGCAAACAGGTAGCTGTAGGTCTTGGCACCCCTGAGGGGGAGGAGAGATGGCCCAGGTTGGCAGGGGGCCCCGGAGGGAGGCCGGGGACAGCGGGGAAGGTGGGCGGCTCCCGCAGGCTCACGAGGAGACAGACCTGCCACCCAGCAGGGAGAGCCGCAGGCCGCCTGCACGGATTCATGGATTCTATGATTTCAATTGTTCACACTTGGCCTCTACGAAATGTTTTTAGGCATCTTTCTCCTCTTTTGCAGTATCGGGAAAGATTTTTTGTTAAGTGAGAGTGTGGCGTGGATAACACCGAGGTCCGTGCTCAATCCCTGCACCGGCCGGCTGCTCTTCCACACCCCCCCATAAAAAAGACTTTTTTCTCTCCAAGTGAACCTGCATTTTGCCTTTGATTGAATGAGGTTTATGCCCTCAGCTGTTTCTCTTTTTGCCTTGACTGATAGGAAACTCAGAGCTAGACCTATGGCTTGGCTGAGAGGCCTCAGCAGGAGGGTGCAGCGGCCCCCCGGGGAGCCACCCCTGCCAGATCCTCACTTGGCGTTGGCTCTGTGCTGGGCCAGGGCGATCTCCGTGGGCACCAGGAAGAGGACGTCAGTCTCAAAGTCCACCACGGTCTTCTTCTTCTTCTCCTCCGATGGGTCCTGGGCCCAGGGCTTGGTGTAGACGTCAAAGGTGGCGTTGGCGCCTCTGAGCCCCTTCGTGATGGTGAGCCCTTTGACTAGCTTGTAGAAGTCCTCCCTGCAGGGACCAAGCAGGCACTGGACCGTCCCCTCAAAGCCAGCGGGAGGGTGTCTGCACACCCCCTTGATACGGTGCTAACTTCCTCACTTCCAACCCTCTGCAGATGCCTCCCACCAGGCTCATTCATTCACGTGTTGCTTCTGGGTCCTGTGCCCCCTGCTTACTCTGTGACAACCTTGTTGGTCCTGTCGATGGCCGGCATGTCGATGGTGGCAAATATGTGGCCATCTATGTTGTTGGTGCCTGCTATGTAGTCGATGTCAGCAGCATTGGCGTACAGGTTGACAGGGTCATCAGGGATGAAGTCTCCATCGATGACAGGGATGAAGCCCAGGTAGTGCAGCATGGGGTCTGCAGGGCGGGGGGAGCCACAGGTCCTTGTCCCTCCCGGTGTCTGCCTGACCCTCCCCTTGGCCTCTTGGGGCTGGAGCTGGAGATCTTCCCTCTCAGATCTGGACCAGGGTTTCTCTACCTCAGTAAGGACACTTGGGGCTTCCGTCCTGCTCATTCCTCTAAGTCAGAGAGCAATGGAACCCCATCCTTTGCATCTTTCCCTGAAGTGAATTAAACTGGTAATTCTAGGTGGGGTGTGGGCTGTCCTGTGCAGTGTAGGGTATTGAGCAGAATCCCTGGTGTCCAGCCACCAGGTTCCAGTAGCACCTCCCTCCCCAGCTGTGACCATCAAAAACGTCTACAGACTTGCTGAATGTGCCAGGTTGAGAGCTACTGGTCCAGGGGCCGGGCTGTCCCCTTGCTTCAGCATCAGCCCCCCACCCTTCTCTCCCTGTCTTCTTGCTGGACCTAAATCAGGAGGGAGGAAGACCTAGAAGCAGTTGGGGGGACGGATGGAGACGGAGGCCCCCCTCTCTCAGGGCTGGGTTCTAGTCTGTGAGCCAAAACCTGTGTGTGGCCTGCATTGCCCTCGGGACCCCCTGAACCAGGCCCTGGAGGACCGCGCAGCTGGCACAGGGCAGGTGGCCGCGCCGGCTTTCATTCGGCCCCACACAGCCCTTTCTCTTCCAGCTGAGCTCCGGACGAAACAGCAGGTTGGCACCGGGGCTGTGCTGGCTGCGTGGGCCCGTCTTGCCTGGCACTCACGGTTTCATTCACTTCAGGTAAAGATGCACATGCCGGGGCTCCACTGCTCTCTGCCTTGGAGGAATGAGCAGGAGAGAAGCCCAGCACCAGGCGGGAGCGGCTGACACTCCTAGGTGTTTGCTGATGGGGTCCCCAAGCCTCTCAGGTGTAGAATAGCCCAGCAGGAAGGGCCAGTGCTGCAGTGGGGCTCAGTCCGCGTCGGCAGGTGGGAGAAGGAGTCAGACCTGCAGAGAGACGCTGGCACCTCCTGCTGATTCCCCAAAGATGGTGATGTTGTTGGGGTCTCCCCCAAAGGCAGCGATGTTCCTCTTCACCCAAGCGATAGCCATGTGCTGATCCCGAAGGCCATAGTTCCCTGGGGCAGGGAAGGGGGAGGAGCCTTTATCAGGGACCCTCAGCCCCCAGCCCACGTGTAGTAGATGCAGATCAACATGGGTGGGATGAAAGTGTCCTCAACTGTGTGCAGACCCTAGTAGCACCCAGGATGGCCGATGGTGGGTCCCCAGGAGGCTGAGCCAGGGTGGGGTGCTGTGGGGGTTGGGGCAGAATGGCCAGGCCCCGCTTTTCTCTCCCACTCCCTGCCACAGCCCCGCCTGATATCTGTCCTGTGCTTCTGTGCCCGCAGGCGTCTCTGCTTCAAGGTGTCGTTTTCTGTCTCCTGTTTGGCTCCCTATCCCTGCTCCTCTCGGTTTCTGTCTGTGTCTCAATCTGTCTGCCTGTCTATCCTGCAGCCTCTTTTATTTTGCTACAGCTGCCAAGGGGCTCCTGTGTCTCACGACTCAACTCCAGCTTCCTGGCTCTGTGAATGGGATTCTGGACCTTTTTGTGGGGCTGTCAGGAGTTGTTTGGGGTCGAGGGGCACTGAGGAGCATCCTCCTCCTGGGCTCGGAGCTCATGAGGTCCAGCATATGTACCGTCCCACTCCCCTGGGCCGAGGGCACCCAGCGGACCTGGCAGGTTGGTGTCCCCAGTGCTGAGAAAGCCAAGGGGGCCGACACGGTAGTTAAAGGTGACCACGATGACGTTGCCACGTGTGGCAATCTCCTGGCCATCATACAAGTAGATGTTGAAGAAGTTGGGCCCATGGCCGGCCCCCATGAGGAAGGCACCTCCGTAGATCCAGATCATGACGGGCAGGTCCCAGGAGACTGAGGAGGGGGAGCAGACCACGTGACCCCAGACCCCACCTAGCCCCCTCCCAGCTAGTCCCCTTTTCCTGTGCAGCACGTGCACCCTGGGTCTGCCCTGCCCCAGGCTGGGGGTCCAGTAGCGGGAGGTCCCCTCCCCACCTCTGTGCTGATTTCAGGGAGGTTCAGCCTTGCAGTCACCAGACACGAGCCAGGAGCAGGGCCCAGGGCTCTGGCTATTTGGGGTCTCCCGTGGGGAGTGGGCAGGGGGCAGACCTTGCTTCCTGCCCTGGGGGACCCAGATGTTGAGGTAGAGGCAGTCTTCGCTCCCGTAGGTGGCATCCTGGGTGACAGTGGCCTGCAGGCATCGCTTCTTGAAGTTCTTGGCCTTCAGGGTCCCTGCGGGCAGGGAGAGGGGTGGCGTGATAATGGCCGCTGCCCACACCAGCCCCCGCAGGGCCGGCCCGGCCCCTGCCCGCTCCCACCTTGCCAGCCAGGGTGCGGCTGGGGGTTCTCCAGGGCCGTGGTGGGGGCAGCGAAGGGGATGCCCTTGAAGATGTCCACGGAGTCGCCCAGGAGGTTGAGCTTCTTGTTGACGCCTTCCACGAAACCTCCCTCTGTGTACACTGCGCCCAGCTGGGAGTGAGTCACGGCAGGTCAGGTGGGCTCAGGCCTGGTGGGCCTGGATCTAGAGGCTCCCCAGAGACAGTTTCAAAGGAGGACAAATCTGCCCCTGAGACCAGGGCGGGGCCCCCTGCCAGTTGCCCAGGGCCCCCCACACCCCAGGGGATATCCTGCTCCCTGAATCTCAGAGGAAGCTGATTCAACCAGTGTTCCCACTTGGGAAGCCTCCCGAGGGCTGGGTGGAGGTTTGGTTCTGATTGTGGCTGTCTGGCTGCTGGCAGTGGTAGATGCTCAGTGTATCCTGAGTGTTTCATACCCAACTGTGAGCCTCCTGAGGGTGGGCCCTTCTTTCTGCTTCCCTCATCTCCCCCCGCAGGGCTTCACTGTCTGGGCACATCCAGCTAACTGGCCAAGTCCTCGCAGCACTGTGCTCCCTGCTGGTAAGGACCCCATCCCACCCCGGGCCATCAGAACTGCTGCTGCGTGCCCACGGGGGCCAGCACGTCCATCCTCATGAGGGGCCTGGAGTGGGCACTCATCTGCCCACTGTCCCTGAGGGAACTGAGGTTCAGCAGCCTTCCTGCTCGGTCACCCTACTGGGAAGCAGCTATCTGGCCTCAGGGCCCAGCTCTTGTCCTCTCCCAGTGAAGCCTCCTGTCTATTCAGGGCAAGGCCCACTGTCCCTGAGGGAACTGAGGTTCAGCAGCCTTCCTGCTCGGTCACCCTACTGGGAAGCAGCTGTCTGGCCTCAGGGCCCAGCTCTTGTCCTCTCCCAGTGAAGCCTCCTGTCTATTCAGGGCAAGCACAGGAGCAGTTCCACCTGCCCGGGTGGCAGTGGCAGGTCGCTGCTTCCTGGCTCTCACCTGTGCCAGGTTCCAGGTGGGAAAGGCAGGACAGTCCTGAACCCCAGGCCCAGCCTCTGAAGTCTGGGCTGCTGGGTCCCCTGCCACACTGGGTGGGAGCGCAAGGCGGGCTGGAGCTGGAGAGCATGGAGCCGGAGCAGCACCTGCCAGCACTTTGGGGAACAGCTGCCGGGCATCGAGCCTGCTCCACCCTCCCACACACACGCCAATGGGAGGGACAGAGAACCGGGTCAGCACCTGGGGTGCCGGGAAGTCACTTCACAGAAGTGTCCGTGTGATCGAGAATGGCCTCAGGGCTTCAGAGGGGGGCCCCAAGGTTATGGGGACCCTAGCCAGAGTGGCAGCATGGCAAGAAGTAATGGTGGGTGCTGGAGCAGCAGGGAAGAAGCCTGGACCTTCCAGCACCCCAAAGAGAACTCTCCCAAGAAAGAGAGTGACCTCCCTGCATGGCAGGGAGCCCAGGACCAACGTTAGAACCTCCAGGTTCAAGGGGGCGGGTCCCAGGGGCAGGAAGGATGCCCGACTGGGTGGGGGGTCCCCAGGGCCTGAGAGAGCAGGATGAGGGGTGAAGAGACAGAAGGTCGGAGAACGGAGGGGTGGGGGCTGGGTCCCCTGTGCAAGTCCTGCTGGGGGTAGAGACCGGGCTGTTGGGGTTTCTGTGCCTTGTTCTTTGCACCCACGGGCGAGCAGCTGGAGGGGCAGATGCTATAGATTCATACTCCCGGCTCACTCTGGAGGGGAGCCAGACATCAGAGGAGTGTTCCTGCAGAGGCCCTGCTGGAAGGCCCGAGCTGCCTCTCCGCTGCTCCACTGCTTAGCAAATAAAAACTCAAGGCCCACTTATACTTGAATTTCAGATAAACAATGTTTTTTGTTTTTGTTTTAGTATAAGTATGTTCCAAATATTGTGTGGGACATACTAATACCAAAATTATTTGTGGTGGACTGGCCGGTTAGCACAGTTGGTTAGAGCACGGCCTTATAAGACCCAGGTCACGGGTTTGGATCCCCGCACTGGCCAGCCACCAAAAAAGAATTATTAATGGTTTATCTGAAATTCCAGTGCCATTGGGCATCCTGTATTTTATCCAGCAGCTGGAGTCATCATATGAAAGAGAAGGAGCCAAGCACTGGCTGGTCCTGCAGACTATGTGACTATTGCTGGGTTCTCTTTCTTTGGCTGGGACCCTGTCTTCCCTCCTCTAGCCCTGTCCCCAGTTTCCAGCTCTGGTTCAGTGGGAGGGCCCTGGTCCCTCTGCTGGACTCTAGCTTACCTTTGCTGCACTTGCCACTGCCAAGCAGCAGGCGAGGCTCCAGACAATCATCTCCAGGTTCCCCATGGTGCGGGCTGCCTCCAGGTGGCCCTTCTTCCAGGCCATGGTTATTTATGGAGCCAGAGCCAAGGTTGCCTGCATACACACACACTCTGGAGCACGCACATGCACACACACATACACACACACACAGGTGCAGGAACGCTCCGTCTTTCCCAGGGCCCTCTGCTCCCAGGCACCCACAGTGCACCTGTGCAGGTTTCTGCCTACCTGGGAGCAGAGGCAGGTGGCCCAGTTGGGTGGGCGTGCTGCAAGGAGCAGGCCTGGCTGGGTGCACAGTGCCCTGCATCTGGCTTGTTTACAAGGACTTGGTGTTGCCCTTAGAGAAATGGGCTTGCTTCGTCTCCATGCCCTGCCTGCCCCCCGGCTTAGCAGAAGGAGTTCATAGGGGGCTGTGCATGTGACTTCTGGGACAGAGATGGCTGTACGCACTGGGCACCATTGTGGCTCACCCTTGTTATCGCAACAGGCTTTTACGGGGGGGCCCACTGGGTGTGCAGTCTAAGCTCTAAGCTGGGTGCAGAGACCAGAGCAGCACAAGGCAATCTTGCTCCAAGAGCATGGGGAAGTATCCCCATTCAGCATGACGAGTCCTGGGAGGGGAGGACAAGAGGCTCTGGGTGACAAGGGAGACTATAGCCCAGGCTCGAGGACTCCTTGTGGAAGGAATGGGCCCAGCTTTCTGGCTGTAGAAATGGTCCAAGCAAAGACCCTGGGACGTACACAGGCAGACAGAGACAGAGACAGGGAGGGAAGGAGGGGGAGGGGAGGAGGGAGGGGGAGGAGAGAGAATCGAGCACCCTTGTTATCGCAACAGGCTTTTACGGGGGGGCCCACTGGGTGTGCAGTCTAAGCTCTAAGCTGGGTGCAGAGACCAGAGCAGCACAAGGCAATCTTGCTCCAAGAGCATGGGGAAGGTGTCCCCATTCAGCATGACGAGTCCTGGGAGGGGAGGACAAGAGGCTCTGGGTGACAAGGGAGACTATAGCCCAGGCTCGAGGACTCCTTGTGGAAGGAATGGGCCCAGCTTTCTGGCTGTAGAAACGGTCCAAGCAAAGACCCTGGGACGTACACAGGCAGACAGAGACAGAGACAGGGAGGGAAGGAGGGGGAGGGGAGGAGGGAGGGGGAAGAGAGAGAATCGAGCACAGAGGTGTGAGATCATAGCGAAGCAGGCCACTAATGTTCTCTGTGGCTGTGCATTACTCTGGTAACCAGAAAAGGTTATTAAAAGTGAAAGGCCACCGTGAACAAAGTCTTAAGATGGTGTCTTTAAAGAGGTGGGCCACATCTGAGGTCATCTCTCACAGGAGACACTCGATGGCAGCAGTACCCACTGCACAGGCCTCTTCAGCGATGGGGACAGCAGCCTGGAGTAGTCGGGTCCCTTCCAGGCCGCCAGCCCCTCAGGCTGGGCCCCAGCAGCCCCTTTTCTATCCAGGAGCCTGTGCCTCTAACACTGGCCACAGCCCCACTAATGCCACCCCTGTGGCCGTCACCAGGGCCCGCATGGGTCCACAGATCCATGCCTGTCCATCTGTCTGCCTGTCCGTCTACCTGATCCAGTGCCCAGAACTTCATGATGCATAGAGGCTGGAGGAAGGTGGGGAGGGGCAGGAGGGGGAAGTTAGGGCCTGGGCCGGGCTGGGGCCCCATGTGGCATCAGCTCGGGGTGGGGGTGGGGGCCGGGAGCAGAGAGGATTTGAGGGGTGCTGCCAGGAGGAGGAAATGCCTTTGGCCCAGCTGTTCTGATTCGGAGAACCTGTTATGAAGGAAGTAATTCTGAAGGGGTGGGGGCTGTGCTCAGGAGGTTCAATGCGGTGTGATTCGTGGTAGCTGAGGAGGAAAAGACAAGAGTTGAGAAGGGGGCAGCAGGCAGGGGGCTGGGGCAGGGGAGAGGAAAAAGGAGGCCACACGTGCTTTTGTAGAGCAGTTTTAGGTTTGCTGCCAAATCAAGCAGAAGGTACAGAGATTTCCCATATCCCCTCTTTCCTCACACAAGCACGGCTCTCCCACTGTCAACATCCCCCACCCGAGTGGCCCACTTGTCACAGTTGATGAACCTGCATTGACCCATCATTATCACCTGAAGCCCATCGTGCACATGAGGGTCACTCTTGGTGGTGCACATTCTGTGGGTTGGGATAAATGTGTAATGACATGTATCCACCATTATAGAATCATCCAGAATAGTATCGTTGTTGTAAAAACTGTCTGTGCTCCGCCTACTCACCCCTCCTGCCTAACTCCTGGCAAACAATGATCTTTTTACTGTCTCCATAGTTTTGTCTTTTCCAGAATGTCCTATAGTTGGAATCACACAGTATGTGGCCTTTTCAGACTGGCTTCTCCTTTCACTTAGTAACATGCATCTAAGGCTCCTCCGTGTCTTTTCACAGCTTGATGGCTCATTTTTCTTTAGCACTGAGTAGCGTTACATTGTCCAGACACACCACGGTTTATTTTTCCATCCACCTGAAGGACATCTTGGTTGCTTCCAAGTTTTGGCAATTATGAATTGAGCTGCTATAAACTTCTGTTTGCAGGTTTTTATGTGGACGAAAGTTTTCAACTCCTTTGGGTAAATACTAAGGAGCACGATTGCTGGGTCATATAGTAAGAGTATGTTTCATTTTTTAAGAAACTGCCAAACTGTCTTCCAGAGGGGCTGGACCATTTTTCTTTCCCAGCAGCAATGAACGGAAGTTCCTGTTGCTCCACATCCTTGTCAGCATTTGGTGTGGTCAGTTTTCTGGATTTTAGCCATTCCAAAATGCGCAGTGATATCTCATTACTGTTTTAATTGCATTTCCCTGACGACATATGACGTGTGGAGCATCTTTTCATAGGCTTATTTCCATCCGCATATCTTTTTTTTTTTTTCCTTTTTGTCTTTTTTTCGTGTCCGGCAACGGATTGCAACCCTCAGTGTCACGCCCGTACCGGACCGGGACCAGCAACGGGATTGCAACCCTCGGTGCTGCGCCCAC